ATTCGTTTGCATTCGTTATGTCTGTAATTCGGAATTCGGATACATCCGAATGCCTGAATTTCCGAAAAATCGTCAAAATTTCGATTCGGAACGAAACGAATCGCACATGTCTAGTGAGAGGCTGCTCTGCCTCCCCCGCCTTCAATGCTAAAGCCTGATGAAGGGACCCTGTGCGGTCCCGAAAGCGCTTGTTGGTCATATGACAGAAAACTTCAATAAATGAAGCGTTTGCCATCTTAAAAGGACTGGTGTGCTGGTGACATTTCTACAATTTTGCTCGGCCTCCCCCAACGCACCACTGTCATCTCATCTCATGCCAAGCAGCCATTCAAAATATGCTTCCCGGTGCAGCGTGTCGGCTTGAGGTGGGATGGCACTATGGCCGCGAGGGAGCTCCACCCATACATGCATTGCTTATGGTACGGCAATGCCGTGCGTTCCATTGCAGTGCGACTTGGGTCACGACTTAATGACCAAGGACAAATGTGGGTCCTGAGGTTACACAGGCTGAGAACCACTGCTCTGGAGGGAGCGCTCCTCAGGGTATGAAAGAGTTAATTAACCCATTGCGCTGCCTGCAGCCATTAAGACATGGTTCCCCTGACTTTATTACCAGATATGGAGAAAGCTTGTATACAGACATAGCACTGTTACCAATATATAGCCTGTGGGGAGGTCTCAAGCGTCTTGCACTCCTCATGTTATATAGGAGAAGGGACTTGAAAAGACCTTTTTAGGACCTCACAGCTATGCGAATTCTTTACTTTCTGCATGTAGATATGAATGTTTATAACGAGACTTATCATGAACAAATGGAGGATGGAATGCAAAGTATGAAAGCAAACTATATTCAATGCATTGAGGGGGGCAGAGACTAAACTGACTTCTACAGAATTGAAGATATATGGCAATTGCAGCACTTAAATGAGAACTATGGGGTTAAGGCCCCGTTCACATTGCGCGATTCGCAAAATCCGCTCCAAAAAGGGTCCTGCTGTAGCGACACACGACCCGCGAAAGCAGGACCCTTTGCCCCATTGAGATGCATTGAAGAGCAATATCGCGCGGTAAATAGACGCGATATCGCGGGAATTACCGTGCGATAAAAATCGCTCAATGTGAACGGGGCCTAAGGCTTTTCCCCATAGTTCTCCTTAGCGTAACGGGAGGACACAAACAGTTCACTCGACGTCCGGATTCTGTCCGGACCAGAACAGTTCGCTCCTGCACTAAAAATGCATCCCGATGTATCCCAATGTGTTTTATGGGCTTCAGTTCTCACCAGCGCAGTCCGGACAGAAAAAATAATGCATGTCACATTTTCTCCGGTCCGGAAAACACACGAACACGTCAAAAACGCAAAGAAAACGCGCCGAAAATGCACCACACTGCAGTTAACAGCTGACAGCCCCACTCCAAACAAAAAAGCACATGTCAAAAACGCACTGCACGCATAGCATCGCGTCTGCAGATCTGCACCAGATTTGGACCAGAAAATGGTGTGAACAAGCCCTGGTAGTGCTGCCAGTAATACTTCATGGGTGACAACAATAACTTACTGTGTCTATGAAGGAGAGATGTTGTCCCCTTAGAACAGGAAGTGTCTTAGGGAATACAGAACACTCCATGCAGGCAACATCATGGCTGAACCAGGGACCTCAGTGCTGCAAGCCCAAAGTGCCAACCACTGAGCCATCCGGCTCCTCTAACACACAGACTAAGAACAGATGAAAAAGCAAACCAAAAGCCAACATACAAGCAAGTCACACAGCAGCTGCACAGAACAGACATATTTGAAGGAAAACACCATCAGGTACAAAAGGAAAAATCACAAGGATCATTTAAATCCCTTAAAAGACGTTATTACAAATACCTCTTAACATGATCCGGGGCTGGAAAGATCTGCATGCGTTTCTGAGAACGTGGTGTGTTTGTGACGCATTCCAGTGCATGTTTTTTTTTTAGGGGGTAATGTCATTATGCAAATTAATCTCTTACTGCTCCATGTCAGCTTCTGTTGCGTTACGGTGCGTTTGTGATGCGTTCCAGTGCAGGAAAAATGTGACATGCAGCATTTTTTTTTTCTGCGCTGGAACGGACTGGACTGTTGTGAACAGAGCCCAAAAATCACATACAAATGCATTGGGATGCATTTTTGGTGCAGAAGAAAAATGTAACGTACCGCATCTGATCCAGACATGGTGTGAATGGGCCCTAAAGGCAGACATATGCAGGGTCCACTCCCGGCCAGCAATGTTCACGATTTAGACAACAATCATGCCATGCAACCCATTGTTATTATATGTAGTCATTTTCTAGTTTTCATGCTCTGAAAGCATTGACCGTCCCCTCAAAAGGAAACAAGTATCCCATTGAGCTCGGTCACTTCAGCTGTCAGCCAAGTCAGAAAGATCATGGCTGGTCCTAGTACTGTATACAAAGGACTAACAGGTGTCTTCCCACTCACCGGTCACTATAACAACTCTACCTGTCCGCGTCCTAGCCGAATATAATGAGTGGTTTTAGATTTCTGTCTACACACATACTACTTGTTTACTACTCTTGTAAAACACAAGACAAAGTGCCAACAGAGGTGAGAGGACTTCCATCCAACGTACAGCCCGTTATGGCTCCATCAAGAATAATGTGTCGCGGAGAAATCTCTGATCTGGAGAAAAGAAAACTTGGATCACCCGCGTCGTATTTTTCTAGCCATTGGCTGTTGGTCTCCGGTGGTGAGGACGGTGGCTCCACGACCTTTGCATGTAGCAGACACGAGTATGCATGCTGCGATGGGTGGAAAGGCAAACATTGGGCATTTGACCGAACCAACATTCTTGGGAGTTCTCATTCCTACATTCAAGGGTTCATGTATATCGGGTGGACATATTAAACCAGCCTGTCCAATCCAGGAGCCAATCTGTCCGATCCAGGAGCCAGCAGAACTTCTTTTTAGCAGCCAGCCCCATTAACAACAATTAAAGAAAACCTCAAACATTAGGTAGCCATCATTTTTAAAAGGAGCACCAACCTGTCTCCTGGGATTAGTCCAGCCCTGGTGTATACGACTGCTTCATATGCATGCAAGGCCAAAATACGGAAAATTGTATACTTACCTATCAGTAATTTTCCTTTCCTGACGCCAATACATGGCAGCATACAATGGGTATGGCTCCGCCCGCCCCCATTGTATGCTGCCATGGATTGGCGTCAGGAATACGGAAAATTGTATACTTACCTATCGGTAATTTTCCTTTCCTGACGCCAATACATGGCAGCATACAATGGTGGGGGGCGGAGCCATACCCATTGTATGCTGCCATGGATTGGCGTCAGGAAACAACTGTATGACGTCCACTGCTCTGTTCAGTTAAAACGATTCTTCTTATTTTGTCTACGTCATTGACCGGAAAGAGCAGTTGATATCATACAGTTGTGTTTGGCTTTATGTACGTACACAGCAACCATATATGCAATTCCTACATTCAACTGTTTGCATATACGACTTTATTATATGTAAATATAGTCATAAAACAACTGCATGAGGTCAATTCCTCTGCCCGGTCAAAGACGTAGACAAATGAATGTAGAACACAGGACTCTTCCACGTAACATGGAACAAGCCGACAAGAGTTTTAAGTAGTCACAGATCACGTCCACACAGAAATGTTCCTAAAAAGTTAGACACTGGATATAAATTTCACAATACACTAGTGGTCTGGTCCCCAAGATTCCACTGGCCCTAGTTTAACATAAAAAAAGTGCACAGACGGTAGACCAATAGTCTGTTCGGCATTTGTGACCGGGTACTTCTGCCACGTAATCCATTAACATGCGATAGTTGTGATAATATTATTATTATTCAGTATTACTCTATATAATAATAATATTATACAATATAAAGGAAGTCATTACAGATACAACACAATGGAAGACAAGATTGTTAGGAGGACCTGCCCATGAGAGATAAGGTGACACTAAACTCGGGAGTTATATCCTAAAAATAGATTCAAGTCCCTTAACTATGAACAACAATGTATCTTATTTGTGTATCACTCAGCTGTAGATCTTCCAATCATCTCTGAATTGGTGCTGACACTGTCCTTCCTTCTGGAGGAGGGCTACTTTTGTTCCCCATGTTCCCTGTGTGTGTTGTAGAGCAGTGGTCCCCAACCCCCGGTCCGCGGATCAAATGGTTAATAATAGTTAAGGGACGCAAATGTATTTTTAAGATTTACCCTGAGTTTATTATTATTATACAGGATTTATATGACGCCAACAGTCTGCGCAGCACTTTACAATATAAGGAAGACATTACAATCACAATACAATTTAAGACAAGATGGTAAGGGGTTTAGTGTCATTTCTGTTCCATTCAGAATGATGCAATAATTATGCACAAAAATAAAAAAACAACACAAAAGTTCAAGTTCTGCATTTACAAAACCCCCGGATACACACAGGGCCGAATGTTTAATTCACACCAATCCCAGTGAATGTCGGGCTGCCGGATACAACGCAACTGAAACCTGCTAATTCATACCGGTACTACACAGACATCATATATGATCATGAATGAATCTGAACAGATCAGACAAAACAATTAACAGATGAGGATGCCAAGAATTACAGCCGGCGCGGCTCACAAAGCACGAGGAAATAAAAGAAGGTTTTAATTAGGAGGGTTAATCCCCGATAGTCACAAATTCCAGGGTGACGTCCTATAGAGGAGGCCCGGCTATGCCTGTTCCTATAAAAGCCAAAACTGTGACCAGCAAGATGAGGTCACGATGCGTTTCGGGAACACTGAACGTCTCCTGACATCAAGTGGTTGGTTTTTTTTTCCGGGAACTCGTAAAGAAATTTAAAGGGATCTATCCTACGCCGATTTCCATTTTGAAGGCTACGTTTGTAACTAAAACAACGCACGATCGTAGAATACCTGGAAAAAAGAAGGACAGTCGGGGACTCGGCACTGCAAGATCACATCCTCTACTTACCATGTTATCCGAGCGAATGCAAACACACCCCTCCCCCGGGGACAGAAGGCAAGGGATGCGGCTTAGACGTGTCAGCTCATAGCTATGGCCACAGACACAACACAAGGAATAAGTGATCTCAGAGCCAGCCAATGGCGGCTGAGGGAATGCACCCTCCCCTTCTGACATGCAACCAATCCGGGAGCAGTACCAGTGTGACAGTTTCACATGCACTCGCCCTCCCCTTTCCCTTTTGGGAACTGGTATACACACACACCGCACAGGTGACAATGTAACAGCTTCCGTAACCGATACACAACCGCCATCACCCCGCAAAACAACACAAAGACCATATTCCAAAAGCAGCCAATAAAAAGAAAATATATAAAATGCTTACATTTATTTGCAGGAAGTAAACACGCCAAAAGAAAACATTTTAAATAAACCGCCTGTTTACCAAGTATACCATCTCCCCAAATAAATCACAGCCGTCCGTGAGCGCGGGAACCAATCCGAAAGCATCTGCCCAAGTGACCGTTCACATAGACTTTCCGTGAGTGTGAACGATCGCAGCGCTTGGACGCGTTCTGGCGCAACACCATAAGGCGCCGCATTCATTTCAAAGGAAAAGAAGCTCAGGCAGAAGTTTGAGGTGCAAGCTTTGTGCATTTTTTAGACGGCGCATCTTGCTTGCCGCATTTCGAGTGCCATTAACAAATAATCGCACGCAAAATGACGTGATTTCTGCACACGCGCTGCAACTCTGAATGGGGCTGTAGTGCAATTAAGAATGAGCTGCAAGCCACATAAAAGTGCAATTCAGTAAAATGCACCATCGCATGCGCTCTGGTTTCAGGCCAGGTTCACACCATTTTCCGAGGAACGCGGTGCATTGTGTTTTGCTGGGTTTTTACAGCGGTTTTGCTGCGATCCAGCGTGTTTTTTGGGGCTTTAAGTTGCGGTCCAGTGCGTTTGCATGCATTTTTGGAGGAGTTTCCATTAGGGATGCACTCGTACTCACCCAAATGCTCCGATACCTATCCAGTTATCAGAACTTCCTGTATCAGGAAGCCGGGAGGCTAGTCATTACACGCTGCCTTACTACCCGATTGGCCGGGAAGCTGGCTCCATGCTCCCTCGTCACCAGGGAGCATGGAGCCGGCTTCCTGGCCAATCAGGAAGCGAGTCATTACCCTCTCCCTGGCTTCCTGATTGGCCAGACATGGTGTGAACAAGCCCTCAATCAGCTCTCATCATACTAGATTCATTCGGTGTACTCTTTTTTTTTTTTATTCAATACTATAAAGCGCCCGGGTCCAATTTTTTTCTGCGGTGGAATAATCGGATCGCCGGGCTGAAGGATTAATAAATCATCGCAATCAAAAATGATAACCGACAAGGAAAATAATCATAACATTGAAAGTCAGCAAAGGGTGATAAAATGCACAAAAACTGGATGCTGTGCGTTACGGCCCGTCGTCTTTCTGCAGAACCGCAACATAAATCGAGAGCAGGGGTAGGCAGTCTTAGAACTCCAGCTGTGGTGATACTACACATCCCATCATGCCTCTGTCTCTGGGAGGCTGTCAGTGTTTTGCAATGCCTCCTGGGACTTGTAGTTTCACCACAGATGGCGTGCTGAGGTCACCTAACCCGCCCCCAAAAGTAATTTTGATAAACAGTAACACAAGTCCACAAAATGTTTTGAATCAAGCCAACACCCAAATGTCACCAATGAAAGCAATCAATGACCCTGCACCTGAAGAACTACAAGTGCCAGCATACCACAAGCAGCTGCTTTGAAAGGCATCCTGGTATATGTACTCCTCCAACATATTCCTCTCCTTGTGGCTGTGATGAAGTATTAAAGATTGAGCGATTGGTGACACGGTGCAGATCATCCCAGACACAAGAATGCCAACTGTGCCAGTTAAGTGCCCGTCCCATGATGTGGTAGCAGAATTCCAGGGCAGACTTCCTGCCAGGCGGGTATATCCGCGTGATTCAGCACCATCATCCCATTACACAGCACAAATAAAAACGACGATCTGATCTAATGCATCAACACGGGTAATATCAATCCGTCATTGTGAATTACAACGTAGCCAATCCCAGGGCAGCGTGGTATCCGATATCTCTGCAATGTTACGCAGTCATCTCACGTTAAATCGCAGGCGGCCTCTGTTGTCTGCATCAGAGTACAGCCTCCGTCCCGCTACAGGAATCTGATTGCTATTGGTTAATATAAGGGGGGCTCCTATATAAGGGGGGCTCCTATATAAGGGGGGCTCCCCTCATCTTAGTTCAAACCCTTTGTGTGTCTCTTCATTCCCCAACATTCCCCCAAACTTCTCACCACCTCTACATACCCCAGTGTCTCCGCTCTGAGAACGTATCTCACCAACTGCATCCTGTCACCCCAAATCCCAGCCGGCCTCCATATGGTTACCCCTAGCACCCTGCTTACCATCAGACTCAACCAACCTGCATCTGCAGTTCTGCACCCCCAACTCAGCTACAGTGTTCCTTCATGTCACCCCCGTGGTGCTCCACATCACCATGCCAATTAAACCTCTCCCAAATTCCACCATGTCACCCCAATCCTCAGGTCTACCTTCTCGCTGTCACCCCAATCTCTGCTCAACATCACCATGCCAATTAAACCTCTCCCAAATTCCACCATGTCACCCCAACCCTCAGGTCTACCTTCTCGATGTCACCCCAATCTTTACTCCACATCACGACAACTACACTTCTTCCTATTCCTACCATGTCACCCCAAAACCTCAGGTCTGTCTTCTCGCTGTCACCCCAAGCTCTGCTCAACATCACCATGACAATTAAACCTCTCCCAAACTCCACCATGTCACCCCAAGCCTCTCATAGTTGTCACCGCAGTCTCTGCTGCACAGCACCACGACAACTACACCTCTTCATACCACGTCAACCCAAACCTCAGGTCTACCTTCTTGCTGTGCCACCCCCAATCTCAGCACCACCCTCTCAGTGTCACCCCAAGTTTTACTTGCTCTTCATCTGCACATCATCTCACCTATAGAGTTCCTTGAGATCACCAGCTGGATCTCCCCCCTCCCCAATTGTCAAGACTTCACACTATCAAGGGATTCTTCACCATGTCACCCCGAGTCCCAAGGGCCTATCTCCACATCGCGTCACTTCAATCTCAACACCGTCGTCAAACTGTCACCCCAAATTTCATAGTCATCCATCCTGTACGCCCCAGTCCAAACCTGATGGTATAACCCCCAAATGGCACCACCACCACCAACCTCACACTAGTCTCCACCCTAATGCACCCCAAAGTCTCTGCTGGCCATAACCCCTAAAGCTGTCAAGAGTATAAACCCTATTTCCATTTACTTCCTGTGCCTGTCACTCCTCAGCACAACCTCTTCCTGTCCT